TTTAAGACCCAAACCTGATTGTAAATCTTTTTGAAACAGACTATAGTAGGGCGCAGTCACCCAGTTTCGGTGGAAGTGCGCGAGTTCGATTGGGATTCAAGTAGGAAGGGAGCGTCTCAGCTTCCTCGGACCACGACCATTCGACTCAGCACCCCGAAGACTACAACTGGTGAAATTTTAATTTTTGCCTTAACTTCCCCTTTAAATACTTTTGAATTCCCAGAGATCTAACTGGCTGTCACCATGGTTACGGGCACTTAGATCGTGGGTCAATCTGGCTTTGGTGGTGTATATACAGGCTGGAGGATACTAGAGTTGCGCTTGGTGAAATCCGACCTAAACTATATAGTGCATGTGTGGCGCCCTCAACTTGCACGGCCCTTGGTGCCCTCGCCATGGAAGTGGTACGAATTCAGCTGGAAGCGAGTACGTATGTGGCTGCAAGTGGTACGAATGCGGCTGCAAGTGGTACGAATGCGGCTAGAAGTGGTACGAATGCGGCTAGAAGTGGTACGAATGCGGCTAGAAGTGGTACGAATGCGGCTAGAAGTGGTACGAATGCGGCTAGAAGTGGTACGAATGCGGCTAGAAGTGGTACGAATGGACAAGTACAGTGATGTAATCGGAGCTGGTCCAGGGCGTCAGTTTTGCACTTTGGGTCGAATGTCAGTGAGCGCACCTGTACTCTCGCATACTGAACTGCACAGTATAATTACGCATGACAATGTTGTTGTTGTGTGGTGGTTTCAAATCTTTATTCTTACAATGGCCTGTGCCTGTGGCCAATAAGAGATGGTGTTGCTGCTGCTGGTGCTTTTTTTGTTTACTTTACTGGCCCCTGGACTTTGTACGCGCATGCAGGACTCGCAGTAACCTAATAATTACAATTCTAGTTAGTACTACCGGTACCGGTATTAAACTGTTGCTTAGTGCACAGATAGTAGCTATCGCGTATACTTTGCTTATAGTAGGCACTTCAGTCACGTGACAGAACCTGTCAAAATTTGCTGAGGTGAGAGTGCGTACTTGCGTGGCACCAGTCAAGTGCATGCGCTAAACTGTACAGGTACGCACTATGCTTCGTTGTACGGGCTGATAGTTGGGCGCATCGTGTTGCTCTGACGTTCAGCTTTCAGTAGATCCCGCATACGTCATAGTGCGTACATTTTTGCGAGTTGTAGATCACGTACACAACCAGCAAAGAGTTTTTTCACAAAGAACTGTTGTTTGCTCGCGTTTGAAACGTTGCTTATCGTCTTCAGCGTCGTCTTTCCATTCGGAAACAGTAGAGTTCTTGTTTACCAGGGTTTGCGCATCGCTGCGCAAGGAGACATTATGTACGTAGGCACTGAGAAGTATGCGCTTTAGGCGGAGGAGAACGACGATGCGTCGTCCTACCTGGGCGAATTCTCAAAGCGTACTGAAAGCCAAGTTTTGACACGGTTGCGCTGGAAGGCCTACTGATGTTTACGAACAATCAAAAGGCACAGTGGCTGCTGGAGAAACCCTCTGATGAGGGGATGCTTTGATATACGCAGCCAGCCACGCTTCACCAAAATTTCAAAGCTCACCAGCAGGCAATTCATGACTGCTGCATGGAGCAGTTGAAGGATAGGGAGGCAGATATCACACCATGGAAAGAAGCTACCAACAGAGGTCCTGAAGAACTTCTTGCCAACTTGGAATCACTTGAAGTGGCATGACTGTGAGCACGAATGTCCTGTGCAGTAATTCGCGCGCGCGCGCGCGCGTACATACCCTCCACATTGCGGTGTCCGGCGTACAACGAGGAAGTTCTCTGTTGTTTTTGTGCCAGAAGAATGTCTTTATAACTCTTACGCTTTTGTACCCGCCGGAGCCTGCCAGTATGTCGTTATCAGTTCATTTCACAGCAAACTGAAACTGTTACTATGGGTTACTATGGCGTTGCTATGGGTTGCTATGGAGTTGCTATAGTGATTGCGGTCACAATTGCCGTATTCTTGCCTATTCTGAACTTTGATCTGTATTGTTTCGATCCATACAGGGTTGTCGGTGTAAGTGAGTGATGTGTGCTTGAAAAAAACACTCTGATGTTTTGTGACTATATCCACTGGTGATACTTCGGAGATGCTGTTGGTGCCACAAATTGTATTGATCTCGCCTCATCCAACTGCCTATCTTCAACCCTTCATATCTGAGTGGTATCACTGTGGATTTCAATAAAATTTTCTGTGTGACCTTGTGATACCCACCACCATCGATTGCCGATGATAAACCTGGAAAAAACGCGATTTCAAAAAATGGGGTGAAGTGCCTACTTATAGTGTTATTCCGCCGCTTTAGTGTTCGCATTACTCCCGGGGAGTTCCCCCACATGATTCAGACCCACTATTACTATTCCCTCCCTGCAGCTAGTGTTCACATGATTCACACTCACTTTGCTGGCAGCCTTCTTACTAGCTCCGCCATCTCCTTTCTCTATTGCTGTAAGAGCCTCGCGTGTTGCTTTCACCACGTCGGTGGGCGATTTGCTCGACTTGAAGAACGGCATAGCACCCCTAACCCTGTCCGCCTAAGCTCAGCTCTCAACGCCCAGAATCCTACAGGATCAGGTCTGATCTAGCTGAGTGTCTGTCTGCCTCTCACGGAATACTGTAATCACCGCAACGCAATCGACTCTGACGACAGCCTCTCAAGACCGGGGATCACACACAAACACTAAGTAGCGCGACACTCTTCAATCAGTCAATGAAAGAACTGCAGAAGCAGGTCGACACCTGCGAGTGACACGGCGTCGCTAGACAACTGCTGCGAAAAGCTCGGAACAACTATATCCGAGTATTGAAGGGATCTATCTACCGAGCTCGACGCTCTTCGCCGCTGATCCTGACCGGTCCGAAGTCGAAAACCAACTAATGGTAGGTCTAGTACTAGTCTTGTCTTCTTCACTTCAGCTAAAAACAGAACAGCTGAGCGACAGTACTCTGAGTACTGTAGCATGCACGCGGGTGGTTCCGACAACGCCACTCTTTTTGGCGTATTTTTTAGCGCTTCATGCACTGACCAATGACCATGGCCTGGTTCACTTGTATGTTCAGTTGTTGGGCTTCACACAAACTCTCACTCAGCGTGCAGCCTGTACTGTAGTTCACTCACTCACTCTGTTGACCATGGTTGACGTCTATCTCGAGTACGAGTGCACTCGTAGATCTACTCCTCACCGACGCGAAGTGCCAAGGTCAAGGACGGTCGAGAAGACGACCTAGCTACGTAGCTACGCACGCGCGATAGATCTACTGACACTGCGCGCGGTACTGAGTCTGTACCACACCAATCATAATTATGCGCATTATATCGTCGTTTGTGTTCACAAAACGAATGAATATTCGCAAAACGACAAGTAGTTATTATTATTATGTCCAGCGCTATCGACTACAATTGTAAGCCTTGGCTTGGACGATCTACTCTTGGAGGGTGAACGTTACTACAAATACACCCAGAAGCAACAGTGGACGAAACAGTGCTGATCAGTGAGAGCCGGTGCGTGCAATATATTGGATGCGACAAAATGGGGAAGACAAGAAACATGTTCACCGACAAGGAGGTGCCACGGTTTGAATCCGAGCACCAGTGGCAGACAGAATTCACCCAGCGACTCAGGAAATTCTTGAAGAGAAGCGGTCCACTGGCCTTCTATTGCTCTCTCGCAGTGGTTGGTCTCTGCGGGCCACGAGTTGTTTCTAATATGATGGTATACTTCGGTCGATCAGCTGGCTATTCAGAGGATTTGCTTCAGCAGTACAAGCACAGGAATGTGTTGTCAGGAGAGGATGCCATTCTAAGCAAAAAGAACAGAGAGGATATAGTGGACAAAGCTGATGAGCTTATGCGATACGCCAGCAGGAAGAAGAGGAGTGACAACGGCGCTGAGAAGGCTGAGAAAGGTCCCTAACTGCTTCGGGAGTAAACTGTTACTTGCCGAGCACCACAGCTGCAGCTCTGCATATAGGTGAAGCGATTACTGCAGTGCCAGACTTAGGCACTATTGCTGCAGTGCACGGCTATTTCTGCAGTGCCTGACTTAGTCACTATTGCTGCAATGTTAGACTTGGTCACTATTACAGTCAGACCTCGCTTAACCGTACACATCCGTTTCCACAAAAATATCCGGATAGGTGAGAGATCCGGATAAAAGAGGACGGGATAAGCGAGGTCTGACTGTACTGCCAGACTATCCCTGCATGCAGTGCCCGACTTGGTTACTTTTAACGCAGTGCCAGACTGTTGCTGTAGTGCGTGACTATTACTGCAGTGCTTGCCCGGCAGACACTATACCAATTGATCTGCCACTGAGCAGCGGAGTCTATCCAGGCTGCTTACAGCAAAATTGGAGCTGGTCATCACCGTTCATTGACACGTGTGCTATGCTTGTGCTGCCAGACTGCAGCATTGAGACCTATATACAACAGCAGAGCACAGGCACAATACCACTAAACTCATCCGGGCACCTCGGATCTGGGCACATCTCTATGCTAGACACCTTTAGCTTGGGTTGCTATGCCAAAAATGTTCCATTTTCAGGGTTTTTAATTATGTATACACACACCACGGCTGTTCAGATGCTGAAACCAGCATCAGTGTTAATAGGTTATCCAGGATACATGCATACTTTTGAATGTTGAGTTCAGGAAAATTCACGCTTGTGGGGTGCTGTTGATGGTACTTCGAAGTAAATGAGTTTCTGTTCGGCTTTACGGCCGCTGTGGGCGATGTGGAAGGCGGTGGTTTTCACCAAGGAGTATGTTGGAGAACATGCACTCCACGCCGGCTTACGGCCAGTTCACTCACAACACCACAGAGCTTCCAAGGAAATTAGTTATTCTTCTAGATGGAAAATGAGAAACGTCTGTTATCACCACAAGTTGGAACTAACTCCACGCCAAGATCAAACGGAAGCTAAGCCAGAAAAAGAACCATGGCCAGCTTGCCAAAAGTAACGCGTAGCAAGCGTGCACGCAAGCACACTCCATACATAAGTCAGGATGCACACAAAAGCTACAAACTCGGAATAAGGGCAGCGCAGACCACGCCGAAACCGCAACTAGAAGATTGACCGCTGACAGGTCAATCAGTGAATGGAAAAGCATGCACCACCGCACGGACGCGCACTCACTAACCTACAATCAATACACGGAAAATGGCATCACGCAGAAGGTATACCAAGCAGAGCATGCACAAGTAACAATACAGTTCCAGCCAGTGGCTGCCACGTTACCATAAACTACAACATCTCCCTCCCTGGTAACATCACCTTAAAAAGACAATAACAGGCAAGCACATCGAAAGAAGCAAAGAGAAACGAAAGGACATGAAAGTTCTGCGAACCATCACCAGCTACTAGTTCTCAGTCGTATCTCACTGGAGCCCTGATACCAGCTCTGTTCCGGAGCACATATCTTGGCTCTTCAGCTCTAGGCACACCTGCGACTAGCTCACCGGGCTCTAGCCGCATCGGGTAACCACCGTCATCCTCGCTCGCATCATCTGGCTGAGGCGGCTCAGGCAGGTCTACAGTAGGATTGGCTGCGGCACGCTTCAGCAGCTCTACGTTGACGATCTTCTCCACCCTGGGGTCTTCCACTTTCTGAACGACTACAGTCGACTCCGACAACACCTTCTTGACTCTCCAGCCAAGCTGAAACTTCGGGAGGCGTTTCTGCGCGCGGCTGGTCATCTTCATCATCACCACGTCACCAGGCCCGTAACAGCAACTTGCTTTGTCGGCGTCTTCTTGGGAATCAGCTGACGCCATTTCTTCATCGATCAAATCACGAATGGCAGCTGCTTGACGCTGCAGCTCAGCCGTCCATGCTGGCAAGGTGTACAGGGGCTGTTGGGCCTCTACAACAAGACCACGGGGCTGCCAACCAGTCATCGCTAGCTGAGGCGAAACTCCCGTTGCTCCATGCGGTCGGACGCGATAGAAGTACAGCAGCATTGACAGGTCGGTCTTCCAGTCGTTGGACTGCGAGTGTACTTTGCGAATCAGAGTCAACAGGGTCCGGTTGAATCTCTCCACGCTTCCTTGTGACTGAGGGTGTCGCACTGCACCGTGCTTGACTTCCACTCCAAACGCCAAGTACAAGGCGTCCATGACAGCATTGACGAACTCTGTTCCGTTGTCTGATCTGACCACCTCCGGCGGACCCCATCGGCAGCACACAGACACAAACGCCTCGGCAACTGACTTAGCGTCATGGTGCTTCAAAGGTATCACCTCCACATAGCGCGTGAACATATCCGTACACACCAAGACGCAATGGAACCCAGCTCGGCTCGGTCCTAGCTCCAAGGTATCAATCGCCACAACTTGCCATGGGCGCGCCGGCACTTCGGGACGTGTCGGCGAAGCATGACCACCAGCAGCAGGGTTTGCAGCGGCACAACTGTCGCAAAGACCGACGAACTCCTGGCACTTCCTTGCCATCCCAGGAAGGTAGCACTGCTGACGCATCATCTCATGGACCACCTCCCATGATCCGTGGCCAGTGTTCTCATGGGCGATTCGGAGGGCATCTTGCTCTAGCAAGCTCGGAATCACGGGCACCTCGCATGCTTCATTGGCAGGCGGCAACTTGATTGACCGATACAGCACGCCATCCCGCACTCTCAGCTGTGGTGCCACCTTCTGAAACTGCTTCGCCCTAACTGTCTGCATACCGTTGACATCCTCCACCGTCTGCTGGATGGCAGTATCTGCTCCCTGCTGGTCCCGGATGATGTCGAAGGCAAGTGGGGCAGAACTGTGGACACCTGCACACGCACTGCTCTGGGTCGCCGCCGCAACCACCGGTGACTCGGGCATCTTGAGCCAGGATGCCGGCACACGGGTCAGACGGTCAGCCAGGTTTTTCTGTGAAGGCACCCACTCGACAGATATCTTCAACTTGTAAACCTCGACCAAGTCGTCAATCAGCTGCAATCTACGCTCTACAAGAGCTCTGTAGAGGCCATTCACCTTCACTCGCTGGATGTTGCCCAAGAGAGACTTTAGCCATCCATGCACCGTCTTCGAATCGGTCATGACTCGAACGTTGGCCACTCTGTGATCCACGACAGCAGACAAGCCACGAAGGACGGCGTCTAACTCGGCAACGTTGATGTGCCGCTTGTCTGACTTAGGCCTGAGCCAACAGTGATCCTCAATCACGGAGCCATCTTCGCTGATGACAACACCTAGCGCCAGGTTGGATGCATCGCACCATAGGGACACGCCACCAGTCGACTTGACTGTCCACTTGCCGTTGACGGGATCCTCTCGTGAAACTTGATCCTCCACCGCACGACACAACTTCTCGAGCGCAGCTGAGACAGGCTTATCCCAAACCGCAGCATCTTCACAGCTCACTCGCTTGATGTAGCTACAGCACGGTCGCAGCCACGATGCAACAGGGTAATGACTCGTCAATCGACCGCACCAGGAGAACACTTCTCGCTTCGTCGGCTGCTCTGGCAACGTCAGATCCATGCCATCACGGCGACGCCACATCACGTCTTCACTCGACGTAGCAACCGATAGTTGCATGCCAAGCACCCTTGCGCCGGCAAGTACCTCTGGTGGCTTCGTCGGTAATCCGTACCGACTCAGCGCCGCAGTCACCTCCGGAAGTTGTTCGGACGGAGCAACGACATCGTCGACATAGTTGTCTGCATCAGGAAAGTCGCACAGCGCAAACTTCACGATGGCGTCCATGACTTTCGGAGCTATGCTGAGACCAAATGCCATTCGTTCCATGACATACGTGACTCCATTGAATACCACGGTCTGATACCGAACGAGGCTGGGGTCGACGTGAACTTGTAAAAACGCCTTCTTGATATCGACGACTACCTGGTCACCGCCACGGCGTCTCCACTCCCTGATCTTCTGGTCGCATGCAGGCGCGTCGCCTCCAGGATGGGAAAGAATCGCCTCATTCAAACGACGGTAGTCTAAGCAGGGACGTACAGGCGTAGACGCCTTGTGTCCTTGACACACAGCCATTAGAGGGAGGATCGCACCTGACTTGCCGTGTCGATCTGGATCATGGGGCACCATCCAACCATGGTCGATCCACGACTGCACCTCCTTCTGGTACTGTTGCTCCTGCTCTGCAGAGAGCTTCTTCCGTGAGTACTGTGTCACTCCGGAGCCAATGCTATCAGTCGGCTCTACACCACCTCCCCAGACCCAGGCGACGGTCCACGACTTTGCACTATTGTCCCAGCGCACCTTGAAATCGGCTGAACTGAGGGTGACACCATCCGAATCTCGCTCAACAGAGATGTGCCTCGAGAGCTTCTGCTTCGGCGCTCGTTCAGCATGGCCAGCTGCGGCAGCCGCTACATCGGGCCCTTTTCCGAACCGAATAGCACTCGCCGAGCCATTCTGGTAGCGTATCTCAAGACCACCAGCCGCGCTGGCAACGTCATTGCCAAGAATCAGGTCAGCATCCACTCCCTCATGCTTTGAAACTACCAGGAAGTCCACGCACAGTTCCGGAAGCTGAACTATATCATCATGTTGCTGGACAGTCGCAGCAACAGATCCAACTGACTCCAGGGACGTGCCGTCGATGCCGACCACCCAGTCAGTTGTCGATTCCACCTGATCAGCCAGGCCCACGGCAGTTACTACACTCTCTTTCATCAGAGATCGCGTGCATCCAGTATCCACAACCGCTGCGACTGATATCCAAGAGTCATCATGGCCCTTAACACACACATCAACTTTCAGCAGCTTAGAGCTCTGCCCACCAGTTGATATTGGGATTCCGTCAGCATCAGTAGACACTCCAGCCTGACAATGCCCAGCACTCACAGCCACTGAAGCAGACTCAGTCTTGGCCTTTGGACAATTTCGCCTGATGTGGCCATACTCTTTGCAAGAGTAACACTGTGGCCCTCGTGACTTGCCAGTGGTGTGGCTGTTGCCCTTGGCCTTAGGGCAATTCCTTCTTACATGACCAGGCTCCTTACATGAATAGCACTTGACAGCTGCAGCCACGGACTTCCCTCCACTGACACTTATAGTATCATCGACGGACATAGCCCTGACACGTTTGATCATATCGGTAAGAGTCATGCTACCGCTAGAGCACTGGATTCTCACCTCTCTGGCGAAGTCTCTGGGCAAGCCCCCAACAAACTGTTCTAACAGCATCGGATCTTTGTCGTCCGCAATGTTGTGACCAGAGCTCTTCAACAGCCTCTTTAGCTCCGCCGCATACTCGTCTACTGACTCTGTGGATCCCATGGAACGCGCTTTGAACAAGCGGTAACACTCCGCAGCAGAAGGAGCAAAGGCTTCAGTCAACACCTTCTTCACCTCGTCAGGTTTCTCCTTGTCCGAGTCGGGCATGGCGTTGAATACAGTATACGCAGCCTTATCCAAGAGCAACGGCAAGTTTGCCATCTGCTCTTTGCCCGTATCCCACTTGTGGGATTTCGCCAGGATCATAAACTTTGACCAGAATACATCTAGGTCGTCACCTCGCCCTCGGTACGGACGCATAAATCCATCCAACTTCACAGACATTTTATTCTCATGAACAAACACTAAGACTTTCTATTTCCTTCCGACTCCACAAAAGTCCTACTCTGCAACACGTTGTCCCGGGTTTCGGCACCAAAAGCTGTTGGAGAACATGCACTCCACGCCGGCTTACGGCCAGTTCACTCACAACACCACAGAGCTTCCAAGGAAATTAGTTATTCTTCTAGATGGAAAATGAGAAACGTCTGTTATCACCACAAGTTTAGGGTTCACGGATTGGCATGCTAGCGTCGCCAGCTACATCATGCACGTGACAGGCGCGTGCATATACTGTCCCACACAATCGGTCAGTGCTCAAATCGCATTTTCCCATCAATATCACTCACTTTCAACTCTACGGGATTCATTACGGTTGGCTCAAACTGCCTGAATTTTTGAATCCACACGCACGAAAGACGTTCCAAGACTTCCACCGTTCGTATTTTTTCAAACGAGTTCCGGGTTTTCCAGTAACTTTGGCCAAAGTTCGGCTAAAAAAACAGGGGGAGCCGTTGCGTTTCCGTAAAATACTGAACGGTAGAAGGATAGCCAAGGTCGAGAGCAAAACAACAAGCCATTATTTGTCAAAATCGAACAAGAAACGGCTCAGCGCATCTATTTTCCGTGCACGCGCGCGTACTTTGGCCGACAAGGTGTGGAGAATTTCTGAAGAAGAAGAATAACAAGAGCAGCAGCGCTCGGAACAGCCGTGCTGGATACTTCCAATCCCGACGATGGAGCGTGTTGGCTGTCGTGAGCTGCTGAAACGACCATGACATTTCTTTTTCTTTGTATACCCTACATATCTTGACGTGCCCTAGCTCAGTTTCGGCCTCTTTACAGGAAGAATATTTTCTTCCATGGCATCAGCGGCCAAACAGCAAGAAGAGCAACAGATCGAGATTTGCAGGGCAAACAAAGGATGCGTGCAGCTACATCTAGTCGGGTTCGATGCAGCTGCGCTTTGCCAGAACCTCAGCAGATAAGAAAAGACGACAGAGTGTCTCAGATGGAACTGGATCTTTCGCCAAGACCGCCACCGCCGCCATCATCAAGTCCAGGTCAGTCAGAAAAATGCAAAGCCCGAGTGAAGTGAAGCCACTGAAGCCAAGGAAAAATTCAAAATGTACGCTCTCCGGCTAGACTTCGAGTCGATATTTTTTTACTTCGATAGGCGCTGTCGCGGCCTGTAGCGCGCGTCCATAATCCAAAATGGAGGCGCACGTGACGGGTGCTTTTAGTGGCAAGCCGTGAACCCTAAAGTTGGAACTAACTCCACGCCAAGATCAAACGGAAGCTAAGCCAGAAAAAGAACCATGGCCAGCTTGCCAAAAGTAACGCGTAGCAAGCGTGCACGCAAGCACACTCCATACATAAGTCAGGATGCACACAAAAGCTACAAACTCGGAATAAGGGCAGCGCAGACCACGCCGAAACCGCAACTAGAAGATTGACCGCTGACAGGTCAATCAGTGAATGGAAAAGCATGCACCACCGCACGGACGCGCACTCACTAACCTACAATCAATACACGGAAAATGGCATCACGCAGAAGGTATACCAAGCAGAGCATGCACAAGTAACAATACAGTTCCAGCCAGTGGCTGCCACGTTACCATAAACTACAACAAGTACTACAGTACAATTTTTACTACAAGTACTACTCCCTGGTTATGACACTGGTGTCTGCCGACAAGAACTCGTATTGGCATTTACACTGGTACACGACGGCTATAGATGTGCACCTGTTATCCAAGTGTGACAGCTTTGCTCAGACCTGTCCCCGGGGAAAATTGCGGAAAAAAATCGCAAAAAACGCGGGGAAAAACGCGGCATAATTTGCGGTGAATTTGCGGTAAATATGCGGTAAATATGCGGTGAATAATATTGATGTGCGGCAATTTTCAGTGAGTATGTAGTGAAATCAATCAGTTACAAGTCTCTGGTGTAAGCACTCGTCATATTTGAGTAAAAAGCCGCCACGATGAGACGTTGCTGACCGAACAGTGCACTGTGTCACCGTGTGTACGTGTAGTGCAACAAAAAAGTTCAAAAACGCGGGAAAATCGCGGAAAACGCGGTCTTTTAAAAAATCGCAAAAAACGCGGGGAAAAAACGCGGCCGCGGAATTGCAATTTTCCCCGGGGACAGTCAGACGTCTCACACTGATTTATTGCATTGGTTCCTAGGTCAGTAGGAAGAAAAGAGAGGCGAACGGTTACATGTAAAAATGTGTGCACGACAGGTTTATGTCGTCGATCAATTATTTCCCTCACGAAAGCACCTTGACTTCACACCCAGGGAAAAGAAAGTGTATGGCCGAGACTAAGCTTGTGCATACGACGCGAGAACCTTATAATGTAAAGTTATTTTCCAAAGTCAAACTTAGCTGCATGTTCTTGGGCGGACCCCACATGCGCTCGGTTTTTAGGTAAACTGAGCACGGATTAGCTGCACAATGTGCAATGTGTATACAAGGTATGCGTCATATTTATACAGACAGGACCTCACCTCCAAAACACGACCACGAAAAGGTGACGGTGGGGTGCTCTTGCGGTGCTTTGCGATACTGGTGTAGGGCCACATGCTCACAGCCCTGGCACAGGCAAATGCAAGAGGTTGGGTTTCACCAAGGAGTCATACAACTGACTCCCTGGCCTGGGTTTACTTGCCACCACTTTCCATGTAACGCTAGATGAAACCGGGGGGGGGGGGGGGGCAAGTAAATGGGTTCTAACGAAAATCACAAGGATGCAGGAGGGACCATAAACCATGTACACCACACAATGCGTCCACCCTAGCACCACGAAAAACACAAACAGCTGACACACATACTGAGAGGGTGCATGATAATCCTCTTCTAAAAAAAACGTACATGCATAGCGTGGGCGAGATAGCAAAGTGCCCGAAAACCACGAATAGGCAAACAGCATTGAGCCCACTGAAAGAAGTGGCAGCAGTGTAACAATGATATCTATGAGATGAAGAGCAACAAATTCATTATGTACAGTTGCAGCCATTGGCATGCATCCTCCCCAACAACAACTGTTACGAAACCCTTTTTTTTTACAGAACCACCCAGCAGGGTACAGATCAAGAAGGTGAACAAGCCGTGAAATAATAATCGGTGAAAGTTCACAGAGTACGCAGCAGAATAGTTATTCCTTGTGTACCTAGACAAGCTTCTTAGCCTCGAAGAATCCTCGCAAATGACGCATTTGCCAGTAGCCGAGGACAAGGAGAATGGCTGTTTGGGCAAGAGACCACCACAGGACACGGGAGTTAGTGCTTTCGCTAGTGCTGCGGAACTGCTCCTCACGGAACTACAAATGGAAGAGAGAAAAAAGGCACACATAGCAGGAGTGGTAAGACTACTAGTGTCATAGAACACAGCAACAGAGTGTGCAACTGAAGCCGACAACGGGTTCTGTGAATGCAGAATGCTACATCACGTGACAAAGAAGTCCTGCCCGGAGCGGGATAATTATATTTCAGAATGCTCTGTCTCCATATCAAAGTGTTTGGCCTAGTTTCCTAGCATGTAATAGCTTTTTTGTAGTGAAACGTTTTTTAAATTTTTTCATTTGTTTTGTTATGCGCATGCTTGAGGTGTCCTATAAGACGGCCCGTTTCCTTGTAGTTCATTGGCCTTTTTTCTAGCTCGCTTGAAGTAAGCTTCTCATGCGTTGTGGAAATGTGCTTTCTGTCTGTTCCTATACGTAATCTGTTTGGTGTGTGTGATTATTGTAGATCGCCTTCGATTTGCTCCTTTGCAAAATATCTTAATGATGGACTCGTCTGCAAGCTCCCTTGCCTCTCCCGATGCTGCTGGTCAGTCATCGAGAATCATGGCGGACATTATGAGCCAGTTTGGAAAGGTCTCGCAGGTGATGGAGCAAATCAGCTCAGACGTTTCAAGTATTGCGGAACGAGTGTCTGCTCTGGAAGCGGCTCAATCCCACCCTGACCCAGCACAAAGTGCCTCTATTTCGTTTTCCGCTCTGGCGCCAAGCGCTTCTTCAACACCGGGTAAAACCCGTGAGATCTCCAACCCCTCGGACTGTGAGTCACAGGAGGAAAGGGGCGAGTCAAGCTTGCTTGACAAATCGTCTCAGGATTTCAAAGTGTCCTCGGATACTTTGGAATTCTTTCGGGAGAAATTTACAACAACTACCTCGAACGAAGTTCGGCGCCAATGACGTAGTCGTTTTGGGCGCCCCAAAGTAGATGTGGCCTCTGCGCCCATCATGGACACGATGGTGAAGTCCCGATTACACCCTGCGACCAAGTCGCGAGACAAGGTCCTGTCGAAACAACAGGCCTTGCTTTTGGACGCCGTAGGTCCTTTGACCTACGTACTAGAGGAAGCTGGGAAAGAGACTCTCACCGTACAAGCCACGGTCGAAGCATGCCAGCGGGCGTTGGCTTTTATTGGCAATGCCAATACGCATTTGAATAGAGAAAGGCCGCGAAATGCCATTCTTTGTATGAATCGCGACCTTGCCGAAATGGCAGATGATGACGATACGTTCAAAATGTCTGCACCCCAGTTGTTTGGAGATGGCTTCTCCAGAAAAGCGAAGGAACGGAGCAAAGAGCTCAAATGTTTGTCGCAGGTGGTGTCCTCGCGAGGTGGCAAGGCTTCCACCAGATCGTTTTTTCGAGGAGGCCGAGCCAACCATGTCCCACGGGGAGGCCATTCGAATCGGGGCAGTTTCAATCAGAACGGCAACCAATTCCGACCTTACAGCGGAAACCAGTACAAGCCCCAGTTCAACAGGAGGCCCAAAGACAGAAGTCGTCAGGAGTCAGCAAAGTGAGCAATCCGCCTTTACCCCTTCCTCTAAAGGAAATAAAGAGCTTTCAAAACTATTCAATGTCTTCTGTTGTGAGTGCTCTCCAGCAGATGGGTGTAAAAGACATGACAGAAAGTGTCGTATTTCACCAGTTCCCGATTGCGGGAAGAGTAGCAATGTTTGCACAAAACTGGAATGCAATCAGCTCAGACCAGTGGGTCTTGAAATGTATTCAGGGTTACGAAATTCAGTAGCTTCAGAAGCCCTTTCAATCTCACTCTCCAAGAGAGATAGTGTCTCAGGAGGAGGAGAAAACAAAAATCTCCCTCGAAGTAACTTCGATGGCGAACAAACAGGCCATTTCAGAAGATTCAGATCCCTTTTCAAGTTATATCTCCGCCATAGTTAACTTTCTGGCATCTCTTTTTGAAGATGGTTACCAGTACCGGTCTATCAACAACTAACGCTCAGCTATTTCATCTGCTCATGAAAAAATCGATGGCTATGATGTCGGGCAGCACACGTTGGTCATAAGACTTCTGAAGGGAGTCTTCCATCAGAGACCACCGCAACCTAGATATAGTACCACGTGAGATGTCTCCAAGGTGCTGTCATTTATCGTAACCCTGGGCGATAACTCTACCCTAACACTTATTGATCTAACTCACAAAACAGTCATGCTACTTGCCTTGACACGACCATCTCAGTCGGTTGACTTAGCTAACCTTGATACTAGATTCCAGCAATTCTCCCTGGAGGGTGTAACCTTTCAGTCGCGTGTTCCTGCAAAGCAGTCTCGACAATCTAAACCTCTGCTGAATTTTTCTTTGCCACTTTCACTGATGATGTCAAACTCTGCCCAGTCAAAGCCTTGATGGAGTATGTGCAAAGGACTGAGCCTCACCGCTCGGGCGAGACTCGCCTATTTCTGGCAACAATCCGGCCTCACAAACCGGTGACTTCCTCTACAATTGCACGCTGGCTCAAAGCCTGTCTATCACAGGCAGGAATTGATACAACTATCTTCAAGGCACACTCGACTAGAAGTGCATCGGCTTCAGCCGCTGCAGACTCTGGCATTACGACTAATGACATCCTCAAAGCTGCAGACTGGAGCAGTCAATCTGTCTTCCAGAAATTCTATTAAAAACCTCAGCACAATGTCTCTTATTCTAATGCGATGCTATCCTGCAAAAAGACGCTGCCAACCACTGGCAAATAAGCTACGAAATCACGTTGATATGGACACAGAGCATTCTGAAATATAATTACAGAATGGCTCAGACCACGCAGTGGTTGCCAGCTATTCTGGATTATATGAAGAATGTGATGTCGAACATATCAACGTCCCATCCCTTGCCCTCCCAAATGTTCTCAAAGGCTCGCTATCAAAGGCCAATGAACTACAAGGAAACGGGCCGTCTTATAGGACACCTCAAGCATGCACATAACAAAACAAATGAAAAAATAAAAACATTTCACTACAAAAAAAGCTGTCACATGCTAGGAAACTAGGCCAAACACGTTGATTGATATGTTCGACTTCACATTCTTCATATAATCCAAAATAGCTGGCAACCACTGCGTGGTCTGGGCCATTCTGTAACTTTGAACCTACTCTACAGTGCATTTCAAAACTATAGACGTGTAGGGTTTTTGAAATATTTCAAATTTGGCTGGAACTTTTTGAGAATAGTTTTCGGAATATTGCTCAGGATCGCTCCACAATTACTCTCATATAGTTTCTAAAGGATTGGATAACAGACGCCCAATTTGGAAAAATTTATGCACAAAGTGATCACAGATTTTATGTGGTATAGATGCTGGCATAACGGTTTTTGCCTAGGTACGCGTCTATAGTTTTGAAATGGACTGTAGGCAGGTCCATCTGATACTCACTCTGCACTAGTCACTCGCGAATTATTGAACCAAAACTCTGCCAACACGGCTCTCAGTAGAGAATACAATTGCACACTTTTGGGTTGATACGTACTTTGGCTACAGTCCGTTCAGAAAAGATGGACTTTGGAGATAGGAAAACTGTTTCGGGCTGAATTCAATCTAAAAAAATTACGGTTCGCGTGAGACTCGGCTGGAGGCTGAGTTTTGCGCATCCGTAGGAACGCCACCACCCTCTTGGATCAAGGCGCAACCTCAACATACATCATTAAATTCTTACGTAGGTTTAGCATCTACCGTTCTGTATAGTCATTCTAATTATTATAACATTACGTAAAACCTGGCCTGATTATTTTGAAAAAGTCAATTATCCGGACATTCTAATTCCACAAAGGACGAAACAGTTCTGTCCGCAGATTGAGTAATTATCCAAACATGTACCCACATGCACAACACATTATGTATGTCGACATGCTCAACACATTATGTATGTCGACATGCTCGCCTTGTCACCTAGAGTTGCGCTATGCACCTTAGGCACAGATTTCGCAGACACTGGACTGACCAGAACAACCTGCTCACGCACACTGAACTGACTTGTAAAATATACAGTGAGCTTCCCAACTTCGAATTATCAGCACAAATCCCACACATCTTCTATGTAAGTGGATTCTGCGTGACTTCTATTACTGTAAGAGTTGTCTCCAACGGGGCACAAAGTATAGCGTTAAACGAGAGAGAAAAAGTCCATCGTTGACTGACGAAACGTTACTACGTAGTGTGTTATTCCTTCTCTCCTCTGTACTAGAGAAACAGAATACGGGTGTGTGACGGCAGGGTCGTTAAACGTCGTACCCGCTAAGTGGTTCCAAATCGTCAGCGAAGTCTTACAGCAGAAACCATATCTTTTTGATGCTCCGACAGTCCAGCTTGACGAGGCAATCGACGTGGACCATCGTAGCCTTCCTGGCTCTTACAGCGAGACCAAGCCTACATTAACCCCCCCCCCCCCCCCCCCCCCCCGAGAGTGTGCAACTCCACTACAGTACTGTTGGTGAAAATAACTTAGAACAGCCAAGGCCACAAGGCTGAATCCCCCCCCCCCCCCCCCCCCCCCGGTTCTTCGGAACCCAACAGTAACGTATGGGTACTGTCCCGACATAATTTCAAGTTGACGTCATTTTAATGATGCAATGCGCATTGTACGCGTATTATCAGTCGGATCCTGAGCCTGTGTTGGATGAAGCCCCATTTGATCCTGTACAAACTACTTCAAGGAAACACATGTGATGCGCTGGCACCCCGTACAGATGTCGTACGTCACGGATGCAAGAAGCACTGCATCATAAAAATGACGTCCACTTTAAATTCTGTCGGGACAGCAGGGTATGCTGGAGTCGCACACTCTTGGGGGTTGTGTACTCTTGGCGAGACCAAAAGTAGTGATGAAGCCGAGACCCATAGCAGCGGAAATCCACACCACCGTCGAGGATGTCATTAGGGAGGTTTCGCTCTACGGAATTACGTATGAAAATAACGTAGGAACTGCACGGAATTTTCATACGTAAAAATCAGAGCTGCTGGGTTTCGCTCTACGTGATTTCTCCGCGTCTGCTAAACGTGCCTTGTTGCTTTGGAGACGCATTGGCTGCATGCGCCCACGAACCGAAACCGCGTTTCCATTTTGTTTTGCATGTGGTGTACGGCGTGTGTACCTTGTGTTTCGCGCGGCTTGAACGTTGCCATGGATAAATCCGGAAATGCGAAAAATATTTCAAAAAGTCCTACGGAGGACCCAACGTAGGAAAGAGCTTTCCTACGGAAATCCGTAGAGAGATTTACGTATGAAAGTTGTCCACGCTCCCCAGCGCGTACGACATACGGATTTTCATACGTAATTACGTAGAGCGAAACCTCCCTATTGTCAAGTTGCAACTGGATGTGGCAGAGGTGCAGCACGTGGAGCAGCACAGCCACAACAGTGTGGTGGTGGGAATCTGTCTCTGCATCCACGTGGATACTCGGACCATACCTAGGGACACGCCTGAGTTCTGTCCAACCAGAGCAACTGGTGTGCATGCCCCTGATGGGTTCACTGATACCACCCAACTTGTGCCGTGCCGTGTGGAATTTTGGACCTGTAAACCCACAGGCTTTCAGCCGTTAAGATGCCAGTGGTGGGCCAAGTGTGTATGCGTGCTGGCAGCTGCACTGCGAGTGTGTGCGTGTGTGTGAAATGGGCACATCATCGCATGCACCCACCCAGCAACACACATGCATACGCGCACGCGTGGAGCGATGGCAAAATACAGCAACCAGACATACCCTTTGGTAGTTTTGTTCCTTGCTGATCTGCTCTACCTGATCAAGCAGCTGGCGTACACGCAGCTGCAACTCGGTGAGCTTTTCCCTGGCAGCTACTTGTGCATAATCGACAGCCTGCTCTCCAACCTCAATATCCAAGTGTACTCGCTGCAGTTCAGTAAGCAAAAGACAGACATAGCGTCAGTATACTAGAAGCTTGACCAGCAACGAACAGACGAGGAACAGACAGAGATTTCCCTACTAATAATCTGCTTGGGTCTAGCAGTCAAGCCTTTAACTTCATTCTCAGAATGACAAAAAGCATTGTAGCGTGACAAATGCATACAATAAGCACACAGCATACTAGGAAAGTACAAGCTTGCATTTGTAGCTCACGGATCACAACACAAGTCCTAGCCTGGCCAGTATCGATAGCAGTTAGCACTTGAAGACATACCAGTTTCTTTCCACTCGTCCACTTCGTTGAGTTCGTCTGCAGACAAATCGTGTGCTCGCCAGGTGAATGAGATGTGAAGGAGAATTTTCCTTCAGATGAATAAAACTTGGACATGAGAGTTTTCTGCGATGGGTCCGTGACCACTACATGCATTCCGATTCCAGGGCTGGACGGAAGAAACGTGTTGCTGGCGTCGTCCCATGCCTGGGTTTTATACTTGCCTTTCAGCATCAATTGCACAGACAAAATGTATCCAATCAAACAATACTCAAAAAATCTACAAGCAGAGCCACGTCAGCGATCTTACCAACAACCAAAGTCTCATCCGGAATTTCCTCGATGAAGCATTTCGGGTGTGATGTCTCCAAGATGTGAAAATACAGGGCAGAACTTGCTTGCGCAAGTAGAACTAGCACCATCAAATAACTTAGAATCCTCATTGTTGCCATTTTCATCGCATGATATCGCAAACTAAAATACTTCGCACCGTTCAACGTTGAACAAAACAAAAACTTTTGCTCTTTGCATTTTGGTTCTCAACATAAACATTTTGCAAAAATGATTTCCCCAAGCTGTGATTATGATCTGATTATGGCAAATGCTCGCGCGCGTTATGTGGCACATGAGCAAGAGATGCGCTGCTCATCCTTTTCGATTTAGGCGATTTATGGTTTGGAAGGAAAGCTCCGCGGCATATCATGCAGGTTTGAATAAAGATAAGAGGGGGATATGAACATTCTGCTGTTGCCAACTCGTTGAAGCTAAGCGGCTTTCGTTTCACCTCTACGACCTGGATTCCATTAATTATTTGGCTCAGCTTCACCGAACGGAAAGCCTGGAAGTGTTGGTATTGTGTGCGACTTTCTCGAGGCTCTGTTTTCTTCCTGACGCAGTTTTCCGTGACAGGACAGCGTAGTGAAATCGGTCAATAATGACTGGCAACTAGACCACCTTTAGGCTTTACTGGCTTTAGGAGAACAGAGATCGCAGCTGCACGTTAGAACAGCCTGGACTGCAGAGCACTTTAAGATAAGGTGGCTGAGTAAGTTCAGTGAACTCCAAGATCACATCAAGCGATATCAAGGAACTGCATCGTACACTGTTCAACGCTGTCGTGTCTGAGTCTCGCCCTCTGAGATGAATAATACAACTGACCGAACGGCGTCTAGCCATGGAGATGGGTATCATCATGATTACGACCAACGTGCGGCGCGAGATCGTAGTAGAGGTCCTGGATCACGTGACAACTTTGTGTCCTGCGGCTGGGATCCGCTTGACCGACGACTGGTCGGTGGCGATGACCGATACTCCGGTTCCCGCCGCGATGGCAGTGGTACGGAACCAGGGAGACATGGCGAAGGAGGTCGTGCGTCTTCTCCGGGTGACATCAGTTTTCGTCAAGCCACGCGCGGCTATCCAAGTATGCAGACAAGAGGACGGGGGCAGGACGGTTACGATCCCGGTTCACCGCCGTACAAGACCGAGGACCGCTGCAGCCCAGTCCGAAGTAGAGGCAGCACTGGTGGCAGGGACCTGTATGCTAATCGCAGTGCACCGCGTGATGGAGATGGCTGGATGCGTGATGCACAAGCCCTGCGAAGCGGCGGGCATCGCGGTGACGAGCATGGGCGGCAACGTAACACCGGTTACAGCAATGCCAGCTCTTCACCAGATCGACCTCGTCTTGCCGGAACAGCACTGGCAGCCTTGAGAGTGAACACCGACGGTAGCTTGAAACTACCCGGCCGGCACATCCAACGTGGCGTCGTGCTGATATACCCTCAGTCTGCTTCTGATCCACTGCCCGCGGTGAAACCCAGGCCGGACGGATGCTTGACGGCTTTTGTCGGAGGGCTACCGCCGCGCTGTCGCGAGCACCATGTCCATGATGTGTTCAGTGAGTGCGGGCAGATCAAGTCACTGCGACTCAAGTCTCGCACTCACCTATGCAAGACCTTTGCACACGTTGAGTATGCCGATGCAGAGGCGGTGGAGCGAGCCGTTGCCATGAGCGGCTGGTACATCAAGGTAAGAAACAGGGCTAACGAAAATGTCACATCTATCACAATATACACTTAGATGTGCACACAGCACACAGCACATCCGCACCTTTTCTTTACCTCTGGTTCTCGCCCCTTGGTAACAATGTAACCACTACATGTGCATGTGTTGCCTGTGCTGTAGGTGGACCGTACAAAGCAGCCAGAGGCTATTGGACGTCTGCTCGTCGACTATTCCACTTCATCAAAGAAACCAGGAAAGGTGCGTTTGGCTCAGGTAGCGGTGTGCTCACCACTTTCAAGGCCTTCGTCCTAACGAAGTGACAGTGTTGTGCAGCTGCTGTTAGAGTTATTTGTCCCTCTGTCTCTGTCTCTGTCTCTCTCTCTCTCTGTCTCTCTCTGTCTCTCTCTCTCTCTCTCTCTCTCTCTCTCCCTCTGTCTCCCCTCCTCCCCCCTCTCTCCCCTCCCCCTCTCTCTCACTCTCTCTCCCCTCTCCCTCCCTTCTTCCTTCTCTCTCTCTCTCTCTCTCTCTCTCTCTCTCTCTCTCTCTCTCTCTCTCTCTCTCTCTCTCTCTCTCTCTCTCTCTCTCTCTCTCTCTCTCTCTCTCTCTCTCTCTCTCCCTATTTTGCTGGATTACTTCTCCACAGGATGAGGACACTGCAGCAGATGCTGGTGGAAAAAAGCGCTCTCGCTCACCATCAGTCTCGTCAAATGCCGGTGACATCGGGTCCAGCTCTATTCCGGTAGCAAAGCGTCGGCGAATGGGCAGGAATGGCAGTCAGGGTGACGATGTGACAACACCTCGGAAAACCCTTCCTTCACCAGCACGGCTTGATTTCTCAGAGTCTACAGTAGCTGACCTTACGGAAAAATTCGAGAATGGCGACCGGAACTTGGAGCCATACTTGAGATTAGTAAGAAGATTATACTTTCAATGTGTCTTGCTTCTTTTTAAATAGCTGAGTGGTCATCAAAAAGGTTTCTGGCGAACATCCCCTGAACGGATGTCGTACACTTCATACAGTATCCCCCCCTTTCGTCAGCATATTATGTTCATCAGTCGATAGCATTTTGTTATTGCGTCTGAATGATGATATTTAGCCAATCCTCCACCCTCCAGAGTGAACCATGTGCGTTTCACGGATAGCAGTTTTTCTTTTCTTTTGGAGGGGTAGGGGCTTAGATGATACTGCCCGCCTGGTCAACATTTATATTTAGGTAGCTACTAGCTGTAGGGTAGTTGCTGTTTCTGTCTGGATGTACACACTGTGTGTATCCTGTGCTCTGTGCATTTGTGTGTGTGTGTGTGTGTGTGTGTGTCTGTGTGTGTGTGTGTGCGTGTGTGTGTGCGTGCGTGTGTGCGTGAGTGATGTTTGTTGAGCAGAGTGCGGAGTGGCTTTCTCGAGGCGAATGCACACCGGGGTCGCGAGATCTCTTCTTTGCCCTCCTGAAGGCCATCCTCAGTTCACACGTTCGCCGCCTATCCCGTATCATCCAGCACACCCACAGAGAGGTCATGGCCACACAATCCGATCAGGAGCAGCACTTCCGTGCCATTGATCGTCATGGTGAGTGCGTGAAGAGTGGTGCGTTTCAATTTTATTTGCAATGTGACAGCTTTTCCGGGTAACCTCACCCTTCTGCCAAACACCTAGCTTATACAGGTGGAATCCTGATAATTCGAATATGGCTTAATTCGAACATACCACTTAATTAGAAGTTTTTCCAGGACCGATTTCTATCAATACGATTCCCACATAAAAACTTCTGATAGAAAATGTGTGGGATTTGTGTCGATAATTAGGTTAGCAAAGTGTAATTCGAAGTTCACTGTACTGGTCAGTTCAGTTTGCATGAGCAGGTTGTGCCGGTCAGCTCAGTATCCGTGAAATATGTGTCTAAGGTCCATAGCGCAAATCTGCGTGACCATTTGAGCATTTTGACATACATACAGTAAATATCGGATATAACGTGCCCTTTGATTTTCGAAAATTTATCACTATATCCGGTGCATCACTATAGCCGATTTGCATGTTTGACCGACACATGGCACATGACTGCACATGAAATGATGCGTACACGCTGGAAAAAGCATGCTGAAAGTGCATGCATGCTCCGCGGACTGTGTGAGAGGCAACACAGCCAGAAACAGACAAGAGCATGCAGAAAGATACAGAAAAGGGTAAGACCATACAAAGGGAGCGAGGGGTAGCGCAGCCAGAAAAGGACATGTGCATACAGAAACGGACAAGAGCATACAAAGGGAGCACATTGCGAGGGGTAGCACAGCCAGAAACGGACATGTGTGTGCATGTGCAGGTAAAATAATGGGTTGGTGCAAAAAGAGATCATGAGTCCGTCGAGTGACATTCGTGACCACAGCATACAGGGACGCCTGTCTAAAATTGAGAATTTTCTCTCAGCCACGTCTGCTGCCAGATGCAACCAGGCAACACTGGATCAGTTTTGGAAGAAGTGAACTTTATTGAAAAAACAATTGTTTTGTGATCATCACTCTTGATCATTATATGCGATATTTTCCTGTACATTTGATATGGTTTGCTTCCTGAAGTCCATCACAATAAGCGATATATCGGTATAGCCGATAATAGTGTATATAGTGATATTTTAGCTGTATTTTTTCTGATTTGATTTTGATTTTGACGTGTTCTATCACTATAACCGGCATATCATTATATCCGGTCACTTTATAAACGATACTTACTGTATTGTGTTGTGGTTTGGATAATTAGAATGTCCGGATAATTAGAAGTTTTTCCTGACATTTTGAGGTTCGAATTATCAGGATTCCACCTGTAGTTGATAAGATCCAGAAGGCACCGGAAAGAAGCACACCACTGGCAGTCAAATCATCAGCACTCCAAAATTGCACATGAGATGCTTGCTTGAGCACTGCACAAACGCCGGCGTCACGAAGCAATAGACTACAAGTATTCGTCTAATGTGCGGTTGCTGCCTTGGCCTGTTTTCGTGTTGTTGTTGGTCTGTGCTAGTCCGCTCTTGTAACACGTTGGTGGAGGCCTTGCACAGCAGCAATGTCAGTGATATCTTTACCAAGGCTCAAGAAAAGACTTTGGACTTATGGCTGGAAAACTTCCAGGTGAGTTGAAGGCCTTGATACTGGTCATACTCGCCAGTATTTTGCAGACAAGGAGGGGGGGGGGGGGGGGGAGACAGGTGTGGGGGGGGGGGGGGGGTAGGTACTGTGTAGCCACTGGTGCGTGGATTGATGGTGATATAGCTGTACTTGTTGCACTGTACGTACGCTTGTGGCAAGTGTGAAATATGGACTCCCGCATATTAATACTAGTCAATAAGCTAAACGCCTGTACATTGCATGCTAGGTTCAAGAGCCTCAATATACTGTACAGGCAGAACATTTCGTCCAACACCAAAGAAAGGGAGTTCGTCCGGTTGTAAATTTCGTCCATGGATCATAAGAGTGTATTGAAAAACTGGACAAATCGACATTAGTCCGGCATTTAATTTAGTCCAAAACCTCCTTGGACGAAAAGACGAAATTAAATTTCCAGGCGAATACCGTATTTCCTCGATTAATAGACCCGGTCTTTTGTTTTTTGAAGAGGGTTGGACCCCCGGTCTCTTATTTGGGCATGGTCCATTATTTGAGCACGGTCCAGTATATTTTCATCGGCACATCGCTGGAAATATAGAACTTCTATATTATGACGTGTTAAAAATCCACCATTTCCAGCGATGTGCCGATGAAAATATAGTGGACCGTGCTCAAATAATGACTTCTATATTACAAATAATGAAAGAAAGCACTAGCCACTACAAAAATTGTAGTTGCGCAACCTAAAATCGTGTCCTTTTTTGATCCACCACGTGCTTCCTTAGTGCGCATGCGCAAAGCGATGAACTCAAATAAGAGACTGGGTCTCTTATTCGGGCAGGGTCTACTATTTTTCCGTGAGGCCTCTAGGAGGGTCTACTATTTGAGCATGGTCTATTATTCGAGCATGGTCCATTAATCGAGGAAATACGGTATTTCTGCTTTTACTGTATGCCTTGCGGGCCAGTCTGATTATGTCCTTCCCATTGTAACCAATGATTTGTATGTTGCTAGGACATGAAGAAAGAATTGCAAGAAGCTAGATTCATGAATCTCATGGAAGCTAATGAACCTGAGTCTGTGGAACGAATTGATGAAGGTAAGGCAGTTGCACTATGACCTGTCATTGATCCGCCCTGTTGTGTGGGCCGTAATCAGCTATTGTCGCCGGACTTGTCGGTAATGCTCAATTGCTCTGTCCCACAACTGCCCATTTCTCTGAGGTGGATATCAAGCCATAGCGGGCCTTAATCTTGGCCCCTCCGTAATAATATTATGCTCTTTGGTTGCCGTTGATCCGTTGCGCATGTTCAGGTGTTGGTAGTGTGAAGTGTTGTTGTGTCCAGACGTAAAGGTGTTCTGTTTTTGGCGTGTCCCTATTGTAGATTCGCTCAGCCCTACGGAGCACATTGAGTACCTTGAGATGGTGCGTGACACACTACTGGCCAGCTCCAAGCGGCAGGGCGTACGCATGGTCACAATAAAGCACCAGTGTCGTGCTCTGATCGCCAGAAAGAACAAAGAGGTACGTCCATAATCCGTATTATCATTGTCATGTGGCCATCCGCTTTGCAACCAGTGCGTACACAGTACATGTGTTTCCGGCCCCTGGCGGGTTTTTTGCTACTCCAGACCTGGCTCAATCTACTCTGTATACACTTAATTTTCATTGAACTCTACTATGTATACTAGTCCATTCAGTGCTGCAAATGCAATTGATGAATCCCACTGATAATTAGTTTGTAAAAGTATTAATGGACTTGTTTGAAAATTGGAACCCATCGCCTAAGTTTGATATAGTTTTCTTTGAGTTTCCCAGGTTTTATTTGCTTGCTCCGAAAGAAAATTGTACGGTGGAAAAAAGGTCACGAAAAGTATTCCTAGGTAAATACAATGTACATTCGTATCACGAGGAGTGAAGCTCACAATGCGTCCTTTCTGTGTGTATACTTGCGCTTTGTGTGTGCTCAGATCTCTGAATTGCACCAGCAGCTATCATCTAGTGTAAGGGTAAGTACGACAGTGAAACCGGTCTAAGGCGACCAATCAAGCGACGAGAAATAGTGGTCACCCGAGTTGGCCAGATGGTCTTCTTATCCAGATTCAGTGGGTCACGTGACCATATCCACAGATGGGCTTCTTAAAAGTTCTTATCCAGATTCAGTGGGTCACGTGACCATATTCACAGATGGTCTTCTTATTAGTGCTGACCCGAATTTGCTAGCAATTCTTCTAGCAAAATATCGAAGAATTTTGAAAGGGAATTTGCTGGCAAAATGGAGCAAAATATCGGTGTGTTGGCTGGGAATTGGGAGATTTTACACATATACGGTGCACATGACTCATTTCGGCACAATTTTACCAACACGTGACTCACTTTTTCTCATTTTTGCCAACACGTAACCCACTTTCGGTCAGTTTTCTCACACGTGACACAAATTTTGGAGCAAAAAGGGAGCAAAATATCGAGTGGCCTAGCAAAATGAAAGCAAAATTTCGACGATGCACGAGCAAAATTATGCCGCAAAATATCGAGATTCAGCTGGCAAATTCGGGTCAGCACTACTTCTTATCCAGATTCAGTGGGTCACGTGACCATATTCACAGATGGTCTCAGAGGTCTAGCCAGGATTTTATGCCAGCCGGCCAACGTTCTAGTTAAAATGCATCGTTCCCCGCCATCAGTCACGTATCCACGCAGACACACACACACACACACACACACACACACACACACACACACCACTACAAATCTTTCATTGCAGCTTGCATCTCCTTTCGCTTCGTCCAATTATGGGCATTCATCAGGCAGTTGTGACAATGTGATTATAGGTAACAAAATATGAAAAAGGAAGCAAACAGCTACATGAGCATGGATCATGATTGTGTTCACCAAGGTCATGTCTGCATGCAGTGTACATTGGTCATCTGACAAGACCCAGCCTAGCCACAGCCATGTACACCACCAGAAGCAGCGAACCATGACCCAACCTAGTACCTGTTACATTTTACTGACGTACTCAAGTGCATACTCAAGTGCATTTGAGCTTAAGTGAAGAGCTAGCACTGAGCCTGAGTAGCCAGTGCTACGTACTGTACTGTACATACCTAGGATATGGGTTGTACTCCACCATCTCCACTCAAGTGCTAGTGCAGCACTACAGTCTACATGGGGGTGACTGCAGCCGGCCAAAATTACCCTTGGAGCTGTCTCAGCCCGCAGGTCGCCCTCCAGGCTGAGCCGGCTAGATCACTGCGGTCTTCTTATCCAGATTCAGTGGGTCACGTGACCATATTCACTATACATGTGATCGTTTTGATCAGTGTATCACATTGCACACACCTACTGGTAGGCATGTACAGTGTACGAGGTGATTCGTCATTATTTAACACGAAAGTAAAAAAGCCTTCCGTAGGGTTCGAGGTGCGAATCTTTCCATTTCTTCCTCTATAAATGTAATACTGAAGTCCTTAGATTGCGATGGTGGGTTGTTCATTCACATATTCCTTGGTGTTGGAAAGCAGGGGGCGGTTGAAAAATGGCAATTTTTCTGCATATTATTTGTTGTGGTCATTTCTTAACATCATGGTAAAATAGGCCTTAGCACCACAATTTCAAGTCAGTTTTCAATAGAAAGAGACCCTACGTATCCAGGATGGTCCAGAAAGACTGGATCAAGAATATGTTCATCCAAATACAAGCCATTCAAGCTTGCATAGCAATAGATGTATCACCCTGATTTCATATGCAATTGTGATCAACATCTGTGAGTAATTTCAGTAATTGCCAATGTTTGGCCAATACCAGGGCCAACACACCGACATTTCTCCTTCCCAGGCGTCGTTTCCAGTGTGTAGCTATCATATGTTTCCTCTTCAGCTAAATGTGTTGTCACTGGAGGTTGAAACCAGCGGCTATGACTCTCTTATACTCTATTTTACCGTAAACATCGCGCACATGCAGACTGAAAGCTCTTGCAATGTCACTTCCTGAAGGAATATCAGTCTCAATTTTGGAGGCGAACTTGACAGAACATTGGCAATGGCAATGGCAAAAAGAAATTTGACATGACTTTTTGCAGGCGCTTGCAATGAGATATTTTACCGATTTGTTAAGAAATGACTCAATGTTAAAAAATTACAAATCACCTCGTACTACAGCACGACGCTGTCGTGCATGTCGTACTTCCTGTGCTGATGTGTAGATCTACCATGCATGGTGCACATGTACATCAGGGAGTCGTGCCTAGCCTGTAGCTAGCTAGCTACATGTAGGTATACAAGAAACCAAATTAAGCACACAGAAAGAATAGACAACCAGCCATTCATGATTGTGTCTCTCAGATTCTCCATCTGTAAAACCAGCCCAACAGCAGCGTATGGCCAAGAGCATTACGCAATGCACTGTTACCATGACTGTGCACATCAGTACTACAGGCGTGATGTACAATGCACAACTACCACAGCGCCCAAACCACCCAAACGACTCCCTGATGTACATGTACTAGCAGGGTGCAACGCGGTCACGGGTGGGTGGTCGTCGGTCACGGGTGCGTGGTCGTCGGTCGCGTTGAGCGAGTGGTTGCCTTGTCCAAGCTGTTTTGAATGTGAATGCGTCCGTGACAAGGAAAAGTGGTTGCCATGGTCGAGTGGTGGCCATATCCGAGTGGTTGCCATTACAGGTGTTCCTGTACATTGTAGTATGACGTATGCTGCACGGCATTCAACACATTCTAGGTGCAAGCTTGACTGTTTATACCCGGCCTTGTGCGGCCGATTTTGTACAGTACTGACGAAATGATAGAGTAGTGTCTTCCTATAGTTTTTTAGTTGATGAGTGCCGCACCCCCCCCCCCCCCCTCCCCCCTCCATCTTCCGTAATCCTCACATATTGTGGCCAGAGTAGTAACGATAAGTTGACGACAGCACCAGGCTGCTGGGGTGGTATGTACGTGTACAGCTCAATAACGTGCAATTGTCGCTTTTTTAATCTCTTTGCTCTCCAGAAGTTGTCGCGGTCTGGTCTGTCAGATGAACCGGGCGTCTCGGATAATGAGGACGACGACGAGTGTGGTGAGGGAGAAGACAGTGCCTATGGCCGCCGGAAGTCTTCTAGAAAATCTGATTCACTTCTGCTGGACGGTGAGTGCAATCTCAATTGGGTAGAGGAGACCGCTTTCCTCTCTGATGATGATGAGGAGCAGAAGCCACAGTTGCCGAAGAAGAGGCAAGCAGCAGCGGAAGTAGACACTCATGGTGAATCAGCTGTCGAGGAGGAGAGACTGGCTTTGCACCCCCATGACCTGGATAGTATATCGCCTAACTTGCCAGACTATGAGATCGCTGACATGCTGATCTTGCAGGATGCCGAGGGCGAGGACGAAGACAGGGAGTGCGTTACTGTTGATGCCGGCCCTAGCCACCAACAACCTCTTTCGAATGAAGCTGCATCTGTAGTGGCCGTTGTGTCCTCTTTCCTGATGATTCATCCTCATGGCGCTACTGCTGATAGCATCAATGCATACCTCACATCAATTGGCTGCTCGGTACCGACTGGCTCAGTTCTTGATATCCTTCAACAGCTACCCATGGTCTTTAGCTGTAGTCGCAATGGTGGTGGTAATAACGAGGAGGACTGTTACCGTATGTCGGCATTTGACACTATCTGTTCGCCTCTCCATACGGCATAACACAACGGTGCCTGGATGAGTTGGAACAACTGCGATGCTCTTGGTGTCCTCTCTCTCTCTCTCTCTCTCCCTCTCTCTCTCTCTCTCTCTCTCTCTCTCTCTCTCTCTCTCTCTCTCTCTCTCTCTCCGTATCTGCTTCTATCTGCCTCTGTCTCCTTGTGAACAACCAATACACTAGTTGTTGACGAGTAATTTTCTAATTTCTGTGCCAAATTTAGCTCTCGCCCATTCGCATTTTATCATTTCTGCAAGCTGCCGTATTGTGTTCCCTACTCAGCATTGTACATACCCCGAATATTGTATTCTTATGCTTTGCCATCCCCAACTAAACACACACACAAGCAGACATGCTTACACCTCTTTTTCAACTCTATCTTGGCTTTCTCTTGTGCTTCATTTCACTTCGCATCCTGCTTTGGAGTTGATCATTGTTCTTCGCGGTACCTGCTCAGCAGAATGTGCTAAGCTTGCTTGGCTGGCAACACATACAGTAGATACAGTGTCAGTAACGGTATGCCTGCCCTTCCGGTACTGCCTCTCGCAATACGACACATGATTGTGTCGAAACACGGACTCGCTAGATATGACACCAGGGCATAGCTCTGGGCACTTCTCGTTTTCTTTCTCAGTCTTGCTGGCTGCAGACTATTTCTCTTGGCTCTTTGCACAGCGGCCTGCTGAGATTTAGCTCGTATAGTGCTTTGTTGTCAATTTGTTAAAATAATTACCGTAAAGCACCGCCAGAGCGCCCCACCTTGATTTTACAGCCAAGGGAAGAAAATCGTATACCAGAGTGCTACTAAGTTTGTACGGTGTGAGAACCTTAGCGTACTAAGGTCACACTTGGCATGTTTTTATGTGGAGTTCGCATCCGCTCGAAGGTAAACTGGGTACGGATGGACTCCACAATGTGCAATGTGTGTACAAGGTTCGTGTCGTATGACCTACAGACAGGAAACCACCTCCACAAGACGACCACGAAAGGACGAGATGGTGGTACTTTACGGTATTAATCTAATCTTGTTTTAGGGAATTGTGTGTTGCTCCCTACTTGGGAGCTCGTGGTATTCCTGCCGACTTGAATTCTCACTTGACTGATTCACGACTGCCATCCACAGCACACGAGAAGTCCATCGAACCTTCCACTCGGCAAACCTGCAAGAAAGCACCACTCCCTGCTCAATACACAGTGTTTCGGGGAACTCACTGCCCCACATCAGTTGAGCATGAGTAGGCTGAGCGGGAAGATTGTGCCCGAAGAGCACCACTTTTGTTACAGTGCACTCCAGGCACAAACATCACCAGGGATACACACTTAACTTACAGAGACGCTCCGTTTCCAGCGCGACAAACACCTCGTGAACACCAGATAGCAGCGTTCTTGACGGACTCTGTATGCAGAAACCCACTACTAAAGTATACCCTAGAATGACTGGGTTCGAGTACATGTACAATTTCCGTATGCAGCGGAAGATCGCCATATCAGATTTGGCGATACTTTTATCGTGTTCAGCAGCCACAACTTAGTCAGAAATAGCTCTAAAAAATTTGTGAGCTCCTACTTGCCACGAAACTTCTAAACTATGACTCTTTTTCGAAATGGGACCGCGCACTACGTGAGTCAGTGTCGCTCATGGAGGTGCTGAACAAGCGCGGAGGACCGGCGTTGGCCATTCACAACCTTGAACGTTGTTGCCTCCAAACCATCTAATTCACAAGCCCGCGCTGGGGACAACTTCTCGCGTGCTCTGGATGGCAGTCGTGAGTCAGTCAAGTGAGAATTCAAGTCGGCAGGAAAACCGCGAGCTCCCATGATGTAGGGAGCAACACACAATTCCCCAAGTATCGCTTAACGCGTTAAGAAAGCCGGGGTTTTTAAGACCTACGCAATCCAAGCCAAAATATCATAAATTTTTAGGAAGTCACGTTAGTGACATAGCCAGCGTGCCCAACTCCAACGCCTGCCCCATAGGCCATAGTGGACCGACAAACAGATGTGTCGTTGGCGAGATCTTCGGAGGTGAAGGTCGACTGCACGAAAAAATCGCGGACCGGGTGCGAATGCGAACCCACGCCATAACTACCACATAGGACGTTCCCCACTTGTGTGCAAGCTGTCGACTGGCAAGTTGCCGATGGTAGGCAGCATACTCATGATGGCAGAGTACGAGTACAGAATTTTAGCGGAGCAAACAAGAGTGGAACTGCTCGCTCACCTGGCCACACTTCCTCGCCTTGCTTTTTTTTAGTCTGCTGCTTTCCAAGCTATGGCTTTCCAAGATGAGCATCAGCGTCTACGATGCGGGGGCTGTCGAACAATGCCCCCGGTTACCCTCCCAGATACCCCGGGCTGACCAATCAGCTTGCAGGGCGGGGTGGTTGTTTTGTTCCGGGATCTGATCATCTTCCGGAACGAGAACAAGCTCAACATTGACACTACCAAACGCAACCTCAGCGAGTCACAGTCTGAGGGCCCGGGCCGTCCAAGGTTACCAATAATATTTTCAAAACGAAATGTTTTCGTTTGTGGGTGGGTGGGTTTGATGGAGTTTCGTTTTGAAAATAATTATTGAATGCTGATGGAGAATGAAATTGAATGATGGAGAATGCCCAGTTACTTCTGGGTGTCGAAAATTGACATCAACATTTTATTGGAATTCGTTTTATCTGCAGAAAAGGTGGGTGGGTGGGTGGGGGCTGAAAAATACTAAAACTTTTCGTTTTGTAAAAACAATCGGTAACCCCGGACGGCCCCTAACCAACTTTGGAGTGCGCCATGATGGCATCTCACTGACCGTCATCGATGCATATAAGACGTCCTGTCTATCATAGTCTCTTGTCCAACTGTCTTCATCACGCTCAAACATCTGTTTTGACCGACTTGTAATTTGTAAACAACTCACGCGGAAAACATGATTGCATATCGGAGCTTCGAGCTTCGATATAACAGTGTAAACCAACCCGAAATCGGGTTTTCCTTTGCTCGAGATAGCTGTTATATCTCCGCTCTCCGCTCCTCATACAATCCCCACTTCACATCACAATGCATCATTGCTTGTGAAATGGGCAATTCTACATGATTCTAGAATGGTATAATGGTCCGTATATAACTGTTTTCGGCGGTGACTGCATCCTGTGGATGCAAGAGGATGCAGCCCGGTTGATTTCCACTAATACAATGAATTGTGTACATGTGCGGCATGGTTAGGATGTCCAGATACTGAGTAACCAGTCAGGGTAGCAGGGATACCAAGAGTAAATAAGCTCCCATATGAAGCTTGTTTTACTCTTGGGGGGAATTGGTGGTAGATCTACTAGTAAAAATTAATAGGATATTGACCTGCGCAGACTACTCAGAGTCTGTACCGAATATCAATCCCTCGGTTCATATCACTGTCATCCGCTAGATCCTACATGTACATGTACATGTATATACACTGTATAGGATTTTGGTCATATTTTTCAACTCAAAATGGGTGTGGCACGAGACTAGGGACGAGTATGTGACCAATTCTTCCGTGTTAGGTCTTAGTAGATATGGGGAGTTGAATAAGATATTTTTTTCAAATGCTAACACCTATGGCTCATCTCCTTGCGCAATATTACTAAGGCCAAGAGTACATAACCCCCCGGGGGTTATGTACTCTTGCTAAGGCCCGTGCCCTATTTTTCGAATCCTATATATAGGATTTGAGATTTTACTGGACCTTGTTTTATCCTTAGAACTGGTAGTTTTGGAACTAAATATTGCGACAGAGCTTTCGGCCATATTTTCAATTCATTGTCTGTATGGTTCGGCTGAAGAGCGCGTGGTTGTGATGAGTTGAGAATGCAATGAACTGGTAGTTTTGTTAGATTAGATGAGTATGACATGTACATAACTGTATTACATGCAAAAGGCACAATCAGGGAGTTTTACAGATGTGTCGACAAATCTGTAAAACACCATTGTGCCTTTGTGTGTAATAGTGCTCCACATTATTGTGTCGAGCCCTCTCCGCTGGCAGAAGGAAGTTTTCCTCCATATAACTGTACTATTACGTCTGTAGAGTGTAGTACACATGTAGTATCCCTGACTGTCACTGTACAGTAGGCACGCAACCTCCTGTACCAGTACTAGTTACATAATTGTAGTTCTTGAACACTACGCATGCGTTGTAAGTGTTTCTTTCCCCCCGCACGCGCAACCACTTAGTGTAATAATTAGGGCTGAAACGATTATACCGAATAATCGAGTACTCGTTTGATAACTCTAACGATCGAGCAATCGTTTAGATTACCGATTACGATTATTTTGCGTTTTTTTAATTTGTGTCCAGAAAGTACGGTAAACCCTCGTTTTGTGACGTTTGAATCAGTTTCCGCTGGGAGTATGCAGTTGCCAGGGGTATGGTTTATATTCTGAGGTTAAATTGACTTCAAAACTGCCATGCTTCGGAGCTACCCTTTCACTAATGCAGATTTGTTGGTATTATGAAGGCATAGTTTGTGGAAACAGAGTAATGTTTGCACAGAATTATGACTCTATTTGCTAACGATTATAATCGATTACTCGATCGTTAAGCTAAAGAGTAATCGATACGTGAAAATCCATGATCGTTTCAGCCCTAGTAATGATAATATTCCTGCCTTGCTAACGTAGTATTCTACATGTATGTAAACTGACTATGATGCATGAACCTAATGTTCAGCATTCTGACGTCTTTTGTGTACATAATCATACAAATCTCTCGGTTATACTCGCTTTACATACTTCCCCACTCTCGTATAGCTCGTTCTTCCATTCGTCGGTCTTAATTGTCTTCCGAGTGTTTTCCACGACACTATTCTACCACTGTTTCTCTTCCACACATTCAAAGGCGATTTCTAGTAGTTATGCATGACACGCCTCGTTGTTTCTGTTACTTCTTGGAACTCTTATCGCTGGCTATAAAACCGTTTGCTTTGTCTAGTAAGTTCAGTTCAGTTCAGTTCATTCAGTCTTATTCAGTGTGTCTTGCTCTCAGTCTTACTCTTACTTTTGCTTGTGACTTCAGTCCTATCCAAATCTTCTAACTGTGTGTCTACTGAGTTACCGTGTGGAAGAACATAACATTTGGCGCCCAACAGCGGTTCACGCATACCACGAGCCTGAGATTCCCGATTGCTGTGCTGTGCAAGCATCTGCCCTGGTTGTTGCGCTTCGTCTTCCCGTGCGCCAGGTAAGTCGCCACTTCGTTTGTTTCGACTGTCTGCTGTTGTTGTTGTTGAAATTTTATTTTGTATCGCAGACCAAACGGGCAATGGTGCCCAATATTATGATGGCGATAAAGTAACGGCCGAGAGCCAAGGATACAACAAGCAAGCCTCCACGAAAGAGAGAAAAACACAGAAAACACAGACTGCAAATACTCAAAAAGAAAAAGGGAAAGGGAAAGGGAAAAAAAGAAAAATGAAGAAGAAGAAAGCACAGTTGAGTCACGACTCCAAGTCCAAGCCTAGATGCTGGCTAACCATAAAAATAAACCTTTAAAAGTCTCTTGAATGATCTATGGCAGGCGAGGGACTTGAACTCTTGGGGCAGGGCGTTCCATAATCTAACAGCAGAAACGAGCGGCCGACAGTCACCAGAGACTCGCCTGGTGGCAGGGACAACATACGCATTTGGATCGTTGATCCGAGTGACGCCTTCAGTCTGGTGACGGAGGCGCTTGGACAGGAGATTACTAATTCTGGCGGTGTGGATGCGAAGCATGAGGAGGCGGAGTTTACAGTGGGCGTTTTGGATGATGGGGATGAGGCCTAGACGGGTGTAGATGGGATCTGTGTGGGAGGGGAATGGCTGGTTGGCAACGCAGCGGATACATCGTTTGTCGAGGACCGAAAGCTGATGCCGTTGGTGCGCAGAGAGAACTGAGAAGAAGGCATTAGATCCATACAACATGTCCGGTAGTATTAACGATCTGTAAAATAGCAGGGCTTGTTGCTCAGTTAAGCAGGAGCGAATGGCTCGCAGCGCCGTCAGTTTCTGGGAGGTCTTCCGTGTAATAGTTGCAACTTGAGTCTACCACCGAAGCTGGGTGTCGAGATGTAGACCTAGATATCGAGCATTTGTGGTCTGAGCTAGGGGATTTCCATTGCATTCTATGTTCAGTAACAAGGGCTGCCTGCGAGACGCATGAAGGGCTAGAACGTGGGTTTTGGAGGGATTTAGTAAAAGCCTCTTTCTTCCAGAAAGTTGGCCAGGTTGGAGACCGAACGGGAGAGGGTTAAATTCAAGAATTCGACGGATTGACTGATGGCGTCTAGCAGGATATCATCAGCAAACAGCTGTGAGTGGGCTGGAGCTGTGATCTGTTCTATTTCCATTGTGTAGATGGAGAACAAAAGAGGACCCAGCACACTTCCCTGAGGAACACCACACTCACAGGGAGAGAGGGCGGACGACTGGCCATTGCTCAGGACGACTCGCTGACGGCGGTCAGTTAGGTAGCTCATGAACCAACTGAGCGCCGTTGAGGTAATACCAAGCTGAAATAGATCTGTAACCAAAATTTGGTGTTTGACCTTATCGAAGGCCTTGCTCATATCGACAAGTACAAGACCTGTATGGCGCTGCTGATCCGCTGCCTCCAAGTATCTGTCTACAGCCAATGTCAGGGCATCTTCTGTGGAGTGAAGTGGGCGATATGCGAACTGGTTTGCGGGGAACAAGGAATTTCCGGAGAGGAACTTACAGAGTCTCGTGTGGACTACCCGTTCTAGGACTTTGGAAACTATTGGTAATAACGATATTGGTCTATAGTTCTTAGCGACAGCTTTGTCGCCTGACTTGAAGAGGGGACAAACATCCGCAAACTTCAGAGATGCAGGAACAACACCAGAAGCCAGAGATGCATTGATTAGTATGGTGAGGGACGGTGCAAGGACAGGAGAACAGTGTTTGAGGATTGCAGCTGGAACCGGGTCGCTGCCTGCAGCTTTGCGCACGTCGATGTTGGAGAGCAGCTTAGCGATCTCTTGCACACTTGCTGGAGCAAATTCTTCGAGGCATTCCTTCTTCGTGGGACCCAATGGGGCTGAGAGACGTAGTGGTCTAGTTGGGTCTGACACAGCACCGCTGAATTGGTCACTGAGCTGTGAGACACTGACGGCTGGTGGAGCTGAGGACTTGTTACGACCGCTGAGGTAGTTGATGGTCTGCCAGGTTTTTCGTGCGTTGGCCTGACTAACGTTAGCAGCAAGAAGGTCCCTAAAGTAGGTGGCTCGGAGATGTCGTGACATACGCTTGGCTTCGTCTCGGGCAGAAGTGAAGACATTGCGTAGAGCTGGGTCTGCAGGTGATGCTTTCCACCGTCGATGGGCCGCGTCACGTCGCTGGACTAGGTCATCTAGAGCTGGCGTCTTCCAGGGGAAGGATTTCCGGGTAGGAGCTCTTGGGCGGTGTAGACGGATAGGAGCATGAGTGTTCAAGGCAGCGACAAGTTTCTCCAGCCATATATCCCACGTCTAGCGTAGCGCTCTACCCTTCGTTACCTCCATAGCTCCCTCTGAACACAATCTACACACACACACACACACACACACACACACACCATCATGGCCGCGTCACTAGTCAAATCGCCGACGTTTTCGGGGACCCCGGATGAGGACATGGGCCTTTTCGAGTTCGATTTGGCCTGTGCGGCGAACAATTGGCCCGAACCGGACCAGGATTACGGGGAAGATGAACGCAAAAACATGCGACACATCATGCTCCAGCGCGCATTAAAAGGTAGGGCGGCACGCATTCTGTTAACACTTCCAGACGACATTTTGTCCAGCTACGAGCGCCTACGGACGGAACTGCTAACACGATTTTTGCCGCCAGAATTTCGGTCGGTAAAGCGAGCCCAGCTAAGAACGCGGCGCCGTCAACCAACGGAAACACTACACTCTCTTGCCGGTGATATACACATCACTGCCTGTCGAGCTTACCCCGACGCCGCAGATGACATGACACAGGAGCTTGCCAAAGATGCATTCATTGACTCCTTGGAGGCAGATCTGCGTCTCCGCGTGCTGGACGCGGAACCGGCTACGTTAAGTGCAGCACTTCGCCGCGCTTTGGTCGTGGAGGCCAACCTCCAGCGCACCGTGGCCGCGCCGCAAACCATTACGGCAGCCGCGCTGGCTAGTCCCAGCAGTGAACGCGAAGAGCGCGAAGAGCTTCGGAAAATGTTGCGAGACATCTCGGATAGGCTAGGCCGACTCGAAACTGAACAGCGTCGCACACGCCGTGAGGCGCCGAACGAGTCTGCGCCCCGACGAAATATTTGTGAGTTTTGCTCCAAACCCAGTCACACTGGTGACAATTGCTGGTCCAGGTCTCCACAGTTTCAACGCGCACCTCATTTTCAACATGCTCAATACCCGCAGCGTCCACCCATACATTCACACTCTGGGCCACCACCTCCTAGGAATCCCTTTCAGGAAGGGCAAAACAAACCCCACGGTAAACAGGGTCCCAGCAGGCCTAACATGTCACGCCGTTTAAACTACCTGCGGCGAGTGCGACGGGTCACGCGCTTGCCACTAGTTCTGCATCTCCCATGGCCTCCTCCTGTTCTCCTTCGCCCACCCAGGATAGGGATGGTTTGGATATCTCCATTGATCAGGGCCAGCCTAGTATTTCTTGTGCCATGCTGGATACGTCCTGTGCATGCCATTGTCCGAACTCTCCAACCAAACATTGCCCCCTAACTGCTAGTTACTACCTCTCAAACTTCTGCATCCCCACACCTGACAAGGGAGTCCCCTACAGCTTGTTGCATATCACCGCTTGCAGTCCTCTTGTGCACGACCATTGTGACTTGCCTCAGTATGGTTTCTCAAGTAGTCGTTCCCTGCCTGATCTTGTTCTTCTCAAACCTATTATGCTTGTTAGTGATTGTTTTCGTCTCCTGTATACACGCACGCCCACCGTTGACCCGCTGGCACCATCCACACACACCGAACCTACACCGATACAAAGCCTCCGCGTGCTCCGTCTCCACATGTAGATCTACCTCTCAACATGCCCGCTCTACAGTCAGCACCCACGACGCACGCACTTCCCATAGCAACATGCACTACCCATACCGCATTTTACGTTCCCTTACACCTCAGGTGGCCTACAACAGTACAAGGCTACAGCTACGCCTACCCACGCACAAGTTCCGGTCACTGCCTTTATCGATACTGGTGTCTCGGTCTCGATCGTTTCTCTCTCATTCCTCACATCCATCCACTTCCCTCTGGACACCATGACGTCGCTCTCGTCCACTGTCCGTCTGGTCTCAGCTACGGGTGCTCAGATCCCCGTCCGTGGTCAACTAGCTCTGAAAACCGTACCTGCCCGATGGTACACCCCTCGACATTACTGCTTTAGTTCAGTTCAGTTCATTCAGTCAGTCTTATTCAGTGTGTCTTGCTCTCAGTCTTACTCTTACTTTTGCTTGTGACTTCAGTTCTATCCAAATCTTCTAACTGTTTGTCTACTGAGTTACCGTGTGGAACAACATAACAGTTTCACGACGGCATGTGTCGTCATGAAACCACCCCGTGCCACACCTGTAATGTTCTTTTGCACATTCACTAATTCAGTCCTTTCCATGACACCAGCTTAACAATGCTGCTCAAAGTTCCGATTCTTCCTGAAAATGGGTATTCATGATGTCCTATGAATCTGAAAAGTAAACATTCATGCCTCGAACATATTTACAGCTTCTATGAAAACCATGCATTATGCCGTTATTATGGGTCATGAATGACTCATGATGACCAATAACAACGGCATAAAGGTCATACATTTTTAAATCCTATATATAGGATTTTTTGTCAGCAAATTAAGAGATAGGCAGATGTCTGTTATAGTCTTCTCCAAGCCCTTCCTGCAAGGATCAACTCCTGGATCTCGACCGAGAGGAAGGCCCGCGACATCATGGATTTCTAACATTAAAAGTTGGACGGGTCTTCCCTTGCACGCTCTCCCTCATGCAGCACACGATAGAGTTGGATTCAGAGACATCATTCACAATTCTCTCGCTGATTAATGCCTCTACGATCACCTTGTGATTATGAGTTATACATACATAAATATAATGTGCATGTTGTACGCGTATCTGTGTTATTATTATAAAATTTATATAATGCAATCCCTACCACGGCACGGATCTTTTGTATTTTTTTGATGATGTCGGTC